AAGTGTATGGTTCTTAGCGTGAGGTTAACTAACGATAAGAGTCATACACAGCTTTAAACGTATTCGTAACGATTACCTGCATACCCACCCACCCCCACTGTACGTGCGGGTGGGTGGGTATGTAGGTAATCATTACGAAGCGTTACAAGGGGGTGGGAGTGCTTGCAAAAACATTACGTAAATAAACCTCGGGTAATAGAAGTGCCGTATAGTGAACCGTAACTTTTATGTCACTTTATACATGTAATTAATTAATAAAATAACGTAACGTTCGGTGGTACCTCGTGTTGCGTGTTATTCCTTAATACAATAAAGAGGATTGAACGAAGATATGCCTTATTATATTTTATAAATGACGAGGAAATCTCTGTGTTCGGGACACTGGTAAAATACCTAATGACACACCCGTATAAAGCGAATAAAATGGTTTATTGTATTGGCATATTCAGAATTTCAATTGGATAGGCCACTTGATATTGTAATTTACATCGAACTAGAAGGAAATATGCTTTAAAAAACAAGGCTGGAAACACTAGAAGTGTTGTTTAATTGTTTAATAAAGAAGAATTTCTCATAAAATTGATTTATTAAGGTGAAAAAGTAGTCGAAAGTCAAGTTTAGAGAATCGAAGGATGCCACTAAAAATGTCTTGTAAATCGGGATCAAGGTCTCATTTAAATATTTATTCCCTCGCATATAAAAACAAACTTTGTAAAAACATGTTAAAAATGCTATTTTCGGTTTAAAATAGCTTCGTATTTAATTACCTCTTACAAGAAATATGTCAAGTTAAAATAAACATTTTAAATTTGATATTATATTTAAAGAATGTAAAGAATGTAAGAATTAAGGACGAAGATGTTCCTTGAAGTAATTTAACATGTAAATTTCAAGAAATAATTGTTAAAAGAATACCCAAAGAATGTACAGTACATTGAGTACATTATGTAACGTGCATAACCAGCATTCGTGGTGCTGTCCTAAACAACTTACGGTCCTAAGAAGCTCCAAATCATTATGTTGCTGTTACTAAACTTCATAATACAGTCATGGATGCTCTTCAGGCATCCAGGAACACTCATCAGACTATTAAATTGCGTGCTGACGATCTATTCAAAGAAGAATCTTCCATTAGTTGATTGAAGATAATGGCACTATGCTATTTGATGTGTGACGTGTTTCTTGCATAGGATCTCATTCATTATCCATAGAAGAGATACGTGGATACTAATAGAAGTAGACAATAGACTAATAAGCCGTACGTTTTTATTAATTACAGCTGTAAATCGGAATCCAACAAAGGCCCAGTGGATAAAAACCATTGCGCGTGGGTTCTCACCTCATCAACGGGGGATTTCCGGTTATCTTCACTTTTGTAACACTTAAAAAGGTGCCAATTTCCTTTAGAAAGTCCTCCCGTATTGCCGTATACAAACAAACATTTCTATATGTTTTTGGTCAGACAAATTTATAAAGAATTGTAATTTTTAAGGCTGCAGAAAATATGATAAAACTAATTAAATTGAATATTTAATTGAATTTAACAGAAGTTAATACACCTGCGTAAAGGTAATTAAGATTATTATAGCGATTATAAACGATATTAAAGGCAGAAGTAATAGATTTGTGCTGAGAATTAGACATTAACGCTAACTGTGCCATTCGTTATGGTCTTTCGGATGGAACTGTACTGTACATCCGGCAATATGGAAAAGATTTTTAAGTGAGATCAGTAACACCTCATTCATCATTTACTGTATTTAATTTAAGTATCGTGCTTTATATTAACATTTTTACTCCATTTTTTTTTTAAACTAAGGATGCCATTGTCTTGAACTTAACCTTGTATTTCTGTACTGTTTATACCTTTAATTAATTGATAAAACCGCTTTGTTGTCGACTATTTGGAGGTTTCTTAGGTACAGTCAAACATTCCAAACAGTTGTATGCCTTAGTTTTTCATATAAAAATTAATATACAATTGTAATAATTAGGATATTTTATTCTAATACAAGTAGCTACTTGTGTTACTTGTGTGCCTGTGTGTGTTTTATAACGATCTTTTAAGCAAAAAATGAATTAAGATAATGCTTACTATTGCATGAAATTCTAACATTCTAACGTGGTAAACACGCATTCAATCGTAATTATAATTAATATTGTTTGTTGGCATCTTCAGCTAACAAGTAACAAGTGTAATCGAAGCGTAAAAACAGCTTGCATTACTTAATGTTTTTTTTCCAGCATTAATTAATCATCCCCCATTAAAAAAAATAATCAAATATAAACTCTTGAATAATGGCATTATATTTACATTATTTTTATTTCGTTTCGAAGTTTATTTCGTTATATATTAATACACTTTACCTGTCCAACAATTGGCTAGTATATAAACGACCACGTACACAATCGGTCGTGGGTTCGAGCCTCTACAGCCAAGCTGTTTGTAACACCTAAATAGGGGTTAGTTTTCAATATAAAGTCAAGATTTTCAGACTAAATCGTGTTATGTTCTGGTATAAAGGTAAATAAATATTAAAAAGAAACCTACCTAAAGGGGAGAAAAATGGGCACCCCTCTATTAATATTTACACAGGTTTTACCGTGTAAAGACGTGAAAAGAAGAAATTTTACCATAATAAATACCCTCCGAAACACTTTAGATAGTAATTTTATAAGTAAAGAATGTATTTATCAGTTCATTTTATCGGTCTTTAAATAGTATACTTTTAACTTCGGCTCACTTGTAACTTACTAAGAATATCAGAACTTAATGCTTGCACTTGTCTAAAAATTTAAGAAAAAAATTCATAGAATGATATTAAATTATGTTTTATTAATAATAAAAGTAATTTAATATAAGTTTAGCAATTTTAAATATTACAAAATACAAATATTTATAGTACAGTCGACCCCTCCTATAACACTGTTGATTATTCCGTTTTATATGAATTCCATGTTGTACGAGTCACTTAGATTTTACAAATACGCGTGCCGGGCTGTACACGGCTCACGTATTTGTAAAATCTAAATGACTCGTACAACATGGAATTCATATAAAACGGAATAATCAACAGTGTTATAGGGGGGGTCAACTAAATTCTTGTACAGCAGTCTTTCAAAGAGCAACAATATACCTTTATGAGGCTCCCATTTACCTTTATGAGGCTTCCATCAAGAGTATCCTGGACAATCTATCTTTATGAGGCTCCCAGTATACCAGTAATTAATATAATGAGGGGTTCATCTGGATACTCTCTTAGAAATTCTGGAGGTTCTTGTGTACAACAAATAGTAATTTATTGAAGACTACTACTACTATTTATATAAAATTCTATATAAATATTTGTATTTTGTAATATTTTAAAAATAAGGATAAACCAAACTGTATTTTAGGTCACGATTAACGTTTCCTTGTATCGCATCGCTGCACTTTTACAATAGAAACTTGAAAATTCAACAACCCTCCTCTCTCATTTACTCTCTCGTAAATGATGATGTTAAATTTGGAGTAGATGTTCGGGCATTATAAATAATGCCCACATTAATCACAATGCCCGTAATGCCCATATGTGTCCCATATAATGCCCATAATGAGTGGGCATCATGAATATTGCCAAACAAAATACTGTAATAAATTTCAAAAGAATGGGATAAAATCTGTGTGAGGGTATCTATTTCCCTTAATATCTCAGGACATAGTAAAGATTAAGTAACGAAATTTGGCACTGTAACTTGTATATAACAGGCATTAATGCTATTAAATTTTGGTGGTTAAAGGTCAAGGGGATGTGGAGATATATAGGGGTCACGTATCTTATCTCGAGTGGGTCGAAATTCCCTATTTACGTGTTAAAAACTCGTTGGTCAGGCCCGAACCCAGGACCAAGTCTCCTACTGGTAGAATTAGTCGTGGGTTCGGGCCTCGAGTGGATTCAAGTCCAGTGTGGGCTTGAGAATAAAGGATTTTCATAGAAAAGATTATCTTTACTCGAAGTTAATTACTTTTATCACTTGTTTGTGAGCTTCATCTGTCAAAATTGGTGACAAAGAAGCATTCTGTATAAACTAAAAGGAATTAATGAAAGAAGACGATAACATAGAATAAATTATATTGAAAATATAAACTCCATATGTGCAATGAAAGAAAGAGAAATGAAGAAGAAGAGATGCTTGACCTAATTCACATCTTGTCCTGTCAAATGTGTTCAACCAAAGAATTACATTAGTGAAAACAAGCTTCCTATTTTCATTTTACTTTTGTCTTTTATAATTGGCTGCAGGTGACCGGGCTTTTCGGGGGTGGGGACGTGTTTGGAAGAAAGTTTTAGTAGCTAAAACGTGCATGGATTGACCAGGGTTTTTACAATAATGGAACAGCAAAACACAAAAAAGAGGGATGGGCTTTAGTGGTGGTTGGGGTGGGGACCACCACAGTATTTTTTATACGGTGTCGCAGTGCAAAAAAACGACATTTTCTCCACTCCCGAAAGGCGCGGGTTCGGTCCCTTCTCGTCTTTGAATTTCGAACACTAAACGTTCTATAATAAAGATTTTTGGTCTACATTTTGTCCACTAATACGAGGTATTAAAGGCTTAAAAACAGCGTAGTATCGAATTTCATACAAGAGAGGGAACGATTAAAACGTAAAATCGGGTGAAACGTTATTTAAAACTTTAAAAATCTCTCCACCCTTCTAAAAAGGACAAAGCAGAAAGATCTTTAACTGGTGTTTATTTTCATAAACTAAGTTTTAAATGCAGTTACATCGGACACATACCTCACGCGCTTTATTGTTCGTATAGAAACAAAGTGGACAGACAGATAACGTTATCACGAAATCGTAACTTTGTACATAACCTCGAATTATTCGAGAAGATGCCGACAAAGTGGCAGACGGATATAATATCTCTGGCGTCATTTAACCACGATCGATAGCCACTGTCTGACAGATAGACACTCCATTTTTCGAGATGGTAAGCATCCCATTCTTGATACTCCCATTATATCGCTACGTTCCCTCGAATTAACGCGAGTTACGCTTCTCGGCATTACACTCGATAAGGTTTCGTCACCCGGATGACATCACCGCCCGTAACTTCCCACAATCTTTGGCGGTTTCCGGTGTTAACCACGCTGGCCACACAAGCAGAACACCCGTCTAAACGTCATTAATTGAGTTCTGGAGCCATTTAAATCTCTATCGTGTGAGAGTTTTTAGTGTTAAGGTCAATTGTCGTCGATCAAAAGTGGGTTAACAGGTGCGTTTTTTTAAAAAATATTAATACTTTGTAACACAATTAACCTATTTGGCATTGTTCCCGGTTTTAGTCCCTTTCCCCCTCTCCCGCTTTTATGCCGATTTGGGTGTTAATTAATTGTGCATTTATCCTTAAAAATGATTAACTAAAGCGCGAATGTATGTGAGATTAACACAGAAAGTTGTTCCTAATTTTTAGTGTAAGTTAAACGGGTTCAATGGACATTGAACCTGTTTTAAAGGGGCGCTAAACTCTTTTACTTTCCCGGTTTTTTACGTATAATATAGGGAAAGTGATGGCGAGTGGTTCAAAAACCCATCGAGATTTTTATATTTTTGGATTCGGGGGACTTTCAAGTGTCGAGAAATTCAAAAAAGTTGGGGTCTTCCTGTATGTTATGTACCCACTTTCGAGCTTAATAACTCCTGTGTTTTTCGTCGAAAATTTCTGAAATTTTACAGGTAGTTTTGTGTATTAGGGTGGGATAATTCTAGAAATTTTCAGCAAAATCGGGTCACTGGTTCGGGAGATATGGCCCCATTCCCTTAATAACTCCCGAACTAATCTGAAGACTTATGAAAAGCACATTTAAAAATCCATTTTTTAATTGAAAGAAACATGCCAAATCGGAAAAAAAACCTCGCGAGATCGTCTTACACAGGTTTTACCGTACGAAATATCCCACAGATCTTACGGTACGAGTTGTTATCGTATATATTTTCATTAAAATTATCAATTTTACAACGTAAATTGTGTAAGATTTACATATAAAAATTGATGTGTTCTCTCTTTATCAAATATTTTTAGCCAAAAGATATGGCAGGGTCGTCCGACATAGAGGGGAACGAAGGTACAACTAACGAGACACCGATTGATATACCCATACCACCCCTCTTTCCTTTAGAGAACGAAGATCAGCTACCTCCTTATCTCGGACCGATCAAGCAGCTCTACTCTAATGGTTTTAACCTGACTATAGAGACCAATGGAACAGTTATAGGCACTCAAGAACATTACAGCAAGTGGGGTAAGTTTACACGTGTTTTCTTTTATAATTTAAACTGTTCTATTTAAAGATATATAACAAACATTGATGATGAACAGGAAGCAATAAAAGTTTTACAAGTTTCTTTTCATCTGTTATTTATAAACTGGAATTTTACAGTAAAACCTGTGTAAACCGAATATCTTTTTCGATTTGGCTAGTTTTAACCTTACTATTTTATAACAATTAGTAAATAAAATAGCATAATGTCGCCGGGAAAGTCAAGCAACTCGTTGCTGGATTTTTTAAAATAGTACTGTATTTGGTATATTTCCCATACAGTTAAATCTTACAGCCATTGTCTTTCTGTCTCCTCCTTTAAAAAGAAAAATAAACAGTTTTGGGGTGTCCGTCTTAAAGAGGTTTTATTGTATAATAAAATTAAAATGGAGTTCCTCATTCTTTTCCTTTTTCTCCATCGCCTACGTTATCCTTCGTATTAATCGAAATCAATTCACCCCATATAAATAATTCAAATACACTACTTATACTTGGAATTGCCTACGTGTACAGTGTGATGTGGGCATTAATACAATTAAGAATTTGGAGAAATATCGTTTTTAATTGACCTTAATTGGACCACTTAAGGAATTCAGAACTCCGAACGAGTTGGCGTGCTTCGTTTTAACTACACGCCTATTCGGAATTAATTAGAACACACATAAATCTATTTACGTGTTCTATTATGGAATTAGTAAATTCTACAAGGTCGTTAAATGGAAGGAAATCTTAACCACATCGAGTAAGAATTGTATGGTATTAAACTATTATTTCCGCTTAAAAATACTGTAAAACCTGTTTAAGGCGGACACCTCTCTATTGCGGACGACCTTATAAAGCGGACGTTTAAAAAAAATTAAAATTTGTACGTAACTACAAAAGATGGTTGTGTTTAAAATATGCATTAAAATAATCGAGTGAGTGGTAATAAAAGCTTTAATTCATTTGAAATTACAGTAAAACCTCTGTAAGGTGGACACTGTAACGTGTCCACTTTACAGAGGTGTTACAGATAGAGAGAGAAAAAGAAATTAGTTTTATAGGAAACTGCAAATGCTAATAACGAATTAAGTCAGACCCGACACTAATCCATATATGACACGTGACACCCTCTATCTCCTCACCCCCTCGACCTTTAACCACCAAAATTTAATATCAACGATTCCCCTAATGCGCAAACCTCCCTGCAAAATTTCAGAAATTTTTGACAAAAGACACAGGAGTTGTTAAAGCTTAAAGTGTACATTTACAGTACTCAAGTAGACCCTCCTATAACACTTGTTAATTCCGTGTTATATGAATTCCATGTTGTACGAATCACTTAGATTTTACAAATACGTGTGCAGGGCTGTGAACGGCTCACGTATTTGTAAAATCTAAGTGACTCGTACAACACGGAATTCATATAACACGGAATTATCAACAGTGTTATAGGGGGGGGGTACTACTGTAGTACATATATATACAATGACTCAAAAATCATTTAACTGTTGTAACGCGTACTTTCTAATTTGAATAAGTCAACTAGTACATTTTACAATAGTTAACTGACTTTTAGGCCACCCTCTACGTTTATAATCGCCCATTATTATAATTATCTCTTACGTCATTATTAAAATAAACTGGATATTTATCGGGAAGGGAAATTCAAATCAGTGTCCCGGGCGCAATAACTTTTATATTGAAATATCCTCTTCTAGAGTTAGCGCCGCGGCCTAAACTAAAAAAATAAAAAAAAATGGCTGCCAAATTTTCGATGACGACGTTAATAAAAATGGCGACTTGAAAAGGAGATTCGGTAATTGATAAATGAATGATGTGTCTTCGTCACACGCCCACTCGCTCCCGTTTAACTGATGACAATCGAGAAGACGGTTCAAACCGGGGTCAAAGTGTCTCACCCGGACGTGTGACGTCACTAACAGATGTACTACAGTACTACACCGCGCGATGGTTTCTATAAATAATAAAGGTGACAAAATGGAGCAAGTGGCTCGGTGCCAAAAAAATATGTTTTATGCCATTCGTTTTCCTGCCATCTATCTTCCTTCTTCACGCTAACAAAACACAGAGTAAAAGGCGGTTAACTGACTTTTAGGCCACCCTGTATTTAAAATAACTTCAGAAGATGGAAGATGTTATACTTTGATCCAAGTTAAGGCGAACTTTGGTTAGTAATTACACCGAAAATCGAACACAATACGTAGTTTAAACGGAAAACACTTTGTGTGTGACGTCATTTGATTGACAATAAGAACGTTTATTGTAAATAAAACAAATGTCAAAAGAAATGTTTACGTAAGCGGTTTGTGACGTTTTACGGTTTGATTTGTTAAGAATTAATTATTTTATTCTAAAAATATATAATTTCGATGGTTTTTATTTTATTTAAGAGTGTTTTTTTTTTTTTTAATTTTGACAGCTATTTTGGAAATTACTTCACCAGGACCCGCCGAAGTCCGGATCAAAGGTGTCCAATCGCAGCTTTATTTAGCAATGGACGAAAATGGCGAACTTTATGGAAGTGTAAGGATCTTATTTATTTACTTTTTAAAGGAAAACAATTTGGAAAATAAGCTTAAAATCATGAAATGACACTATGAACTGTACAACTAGCGTTAAGTCTAATCGATGAATTATGAATCTATATTAAACCTGTACAGTGTGTAGAGTGGCCACAGCCTGTTGTTTATCCTTATCTTAAATTGGTAGATATAATCACGTTTTTATTGCATTGTAGCACACGGGAAATTTTTAAGTTCTATGCCATGATTTTATTGATCTTACAACAGACTTTAATCATCTCTTATTGAGTCTTTCGCTTGGTTTTAAACTAAGTTAGTATACATTTCCATCATTAAAGCGTTTCTTCTTCCAGCACTAGAGAGCTTCTCTTCCTCTTCTGCTTCCGGAACTAGGCACTTTCTCCTCCTCTTCTGCTTCCGGAACTGGAGAGCTTCTCCTCCTCTTCTGCTTCCGAAACTAGGCAGCTTCTCCTCCTCTTCTGCTTCCGAAACTAGGCAGCTTCTCCTCCTCTTCTGCTTCCGAAACTAGGCAGCTTCTCCTCCTCTTCTGCTTCCGAAACTAGGCAGCTTCTCCTCCTCTTCTGCTTCCGAAACTAGGCAGCTTCTCCTCCTCTTCTGCTTCCGAAACTAGGCAGCTTCTCCTCCTCTTCTGCTTCCGAAACTAGGCAGCTTCTCCTCCTCTTCTGCTTCCGAAACTAGGCAGCTTCTCCTCCTCTTCTGCTTCCGAAACTAGGCAGCTTCTCCTCCTCTTCTGCTTCCGAAACTAGGCAGCTTCTCCTCCTCTTCTGCTTCCGAAACTAGGCAGCTTCTCCTCCTCTTCTGCTTCCGAAACTAGGCAGCTTCTCCTCCTCTTCTGCTCCCGGAACTGGAGAGCTTCTAGCACAGCAAAGTTTTGGAAAAATATTTAATACTGTATGAACACACTATATCTCATAGTAGTTAATTATATAAAAGATAATATCTTGGTTTTGTGCAGCCCTCTTCATAATTGACACTTCTATCAATTAAATTTCTTTTTATTGTTTTAATTAAATTTCATTAAAAATCCACAATTATTCTTACAGAAAGCAAATTTATTTTCAGGCCGACGGTCAGTCAGACGACACGATATTTCTCGAGCAATATCACGACAGTTATGTATATTATCTCTCGAAGAAGTACGCAGACAGAAACTGGTATGTCGGAATCAATAAATCCGGACGGCCTAAAAATGCCAAAAAGACAGCAAAAGGACAGAAAGCCACAAAGTTTCTTTTTCGACAGGCAAAACCACCTTCATAATCAAAGTATCTTCCAACTGTTAAACCTTGTTGTTTCTTTAGATCCAGTATATTTTTATGTATAAAACATGCCACAATACCCTCTATATCTGTATTATTTCTGGCCAAAACGTCGCTTGACAAATGAGGAAAGAAGATGTACTGCAAATTACTGAAGAAAGACACTTTAAGACTAGTGTTTGGAGTGTTGTACAGTACACCACAACACTCCTGTTCGAAGTATTGCAAGCTCACTCGATACAGTTTTGTACACAATGCAAGAATGCATGTGGAATGTTGTGAAGAACAGTACCAAGCCATTGTAGGTAAAGAAAAGCAATAAGAACAATGATTACTACCATTTGGCACGCGACTTTTTGGCCACACTGTAGAAAAATCACCATCGTTTACGCAATTCTAAATGAAAATATATATAAATAAACGAGCTTTCCTGCCGGAAGAAATGATGAAATTACCAAATTATTTTAAAATTTTAATGGCATTTAAAGATTTATTTATACAAGGTTATTGTTAGTGATGTTTTCTTTTGTATATATACATATATTATTTTTTCTAAATCGTCTATAATATCAATTATTATGTATGCAGTCGTATGTATACTCCGCTGAAATGAAAATTTCGAATTATTGTTGTGAACATTGAAATAATAATAATGCATTTATTTATGTACAAAATACAATACATGAAAGTATAACAGCAGCCAAATGTTTAGAATGTATAAATAAATTTTAAATATAACAATACATTCGCCCCCTTTTTTTGTGAAATAATTTCGCATTCGTTTCACTTACGTATTTAAATTTATTAACAACACGGGACGGACCAAAAGTCAGTTAACTGTGTGTGTAAAGATTAAATTGCTGTGTATTCGAGTACTTTAATAAGTACAGTGTTGCCATTCAGAATCCAACATTGTATCACGTGATTTTGATTTAGTCTGATTTATTTGTATAATACACGTTGACGATTTCTACAGGAAAGGTGTTACAAACGTCAAGAAATTTCGTAAAACCACGTGGCCAGCCCGTTGACGACGCTCGAACCCATGACCAGTGTTTAGGGGCCACCTGTCGGTAGTTTTTGGTACTGTTAGGCACAATCGGCTGTAAAAAAAATTATTATTCGATTGTTTAAAACAATCAAATAATCCAGAAGAATAAAAAACAATTCGGTCTCTCGCTCGCCTGTATTGTGGGTCTGCAGGAACCCACGACTGGTAACGAAAAATAAAGTCCCTCTTAACGCCCACAAGACGGAAAAAGTTAAAAAATATATTCATTAAATGTACCTAATTCAATATTTAATTTAAACCTAATTAATTTTTTTATAATTTTAATTCCACAAAAGAGTTTTTTAAAGGAAATAAATTATTATTATTTTATTTTCGCTCGCTTGCCCTCCCTCTGGCGGGACGGTTAGGCATCATTTTATTTTTTGATAAATTCGTTCGTACGGTCGCCCTCTAACGACTACCGAGGGAATAATTCGTGAATGAACCGAATATTTACTTCCGGTTTACACGGAATATATTAATTTATTAATAATAATAATAATAAATAAATGGACTTATTGATAAAATTAAAATTTATTCGAATATATTACACTCAAAAAATACTTTTTGAAATTCAAAAATCCATCCACTCCCAGTGACGTATCATAGCCAAGCGAATTTGAATGAGGGGCTCCATGCACAGTGTTGACTTCAGATGTTTTTCTCCGGGAGAAATATATCTTTTATAAGAAAATGTAGAAGATTGCCCATTATATCAATAGGATAACGCGCCACTCACTCCAACGGTACTTATACCGTCTGAAGCCGGAATTTCTATGTAATGAATTGTTAGAAATCAGTGAAATTTTCAAACATCTATTCGAATTTCTTGCTACTAAATTCGATAACTTAAAAATAAAGAAATAACTTTAAGCTATATACTGCCCAATAGCACGTAGACCTAATAAATCCAGTAGTGTTTACACACATTCAATATAAAACATAACCCGCGTCTTTATCGCTTCTGGATCCTGAACCAATTTGCATATTCAATTGTAACAGCAATAAGCATTAAATGGTAGATAGAGTCACCGACACATGTACATTAAAACTTGTGTAAACCGGACCTGCAAGCTACCGAATATTTTTTCCGGTTTGACAGGATTTTTTTAACACAAAATTGCTGCGTTCCAAAGAATTCTTCCCGTTTAGGCATACTGAATTTGTTTTATTCTCCAGTATCCTCAATAGAGATAAGTTTTATATTTTAGTGTGCGAGTTCAATGGGAAAGCCACATATTAAATAAAGATGCTTTAAAAACCAAATTGGTTCGGGAATCATTCATTGTCTTGCTGATAGAAATCGGAGTCTCGGGTAACGCGGTCAATGGTCAAATTGGTAAAGGTCTACTTGCATTCAGATTGCCCTCCAGAGGTATCAGCATACCACGCCATGACATCATTTCCCAGACACAGTTGTATGCGTGGTGTCTGTTCTTGAAGGTTTCACCCCAAATATGCCACTATCCTTCCACTTGGTGGAGCAAAAGCGAGTCCAGCTTTGGAGATACTTGGTGACGGCAGCAACATCTGCTCCACAATAGGAACCTTTCTGATAGCTGCACTTTTTATTTGGATCGGGATGGTCAACCAATCAATGGCAGCACACCAATCACTTCTAACCAACCATCACAGTTGACATTCACCCCAAAATTGGCATGTTGGGTAGTCAAAAGTGTTCCATTCATCCAGTTTTGTGAACACCTTCACTGCTGTAGCATACAATTAGAAATGCTGGTATCTCTTGACCCGATAGCCAATAATCGTGTTTTTTTCCAGGTCTGATAAATCATGATCTTTGCCCTTAATATCGTATTTCCATAGATGCTAAACACTTTATCTTAGATGTTGCATTAATAAAGAACAAGCAATCAGCAAGGGAAGATTGGTGCTGACAGATATTTCAAAATGAAAACCCTAACCGAAAAATAAACAGAGGTTAACGTAGAAACATAAACTGCTTTAGTTGATTTTGAAGAAGAATTTTATCCAGTTAATGGAATTAATTTTAATATTTTACAAAAGGATGGTGTTACATCTCCAACATTTGCAATATTCAATCTCACAAGTCAAATATGATATTCTTCTTACAGAGTAGAAGACAATAAATATAGTCGTAAAGCAAGGATGCCCACCATCTCCACTTTAGTTCCTCATTATTTATATGAACACCATAATTAAAAGTTGGAAACAATAAAAACATGGTTTGCTCACGATAAACTGTGCTAATTGTGGCATTCTGTTCCCCTTCCAAATAGGACTTGCGGCGACTTAGTATAAATTCGGATAAAACCAAAATCATGTCCTTTAAAGGGAAAGATTCTAATCTACGTTAAATGAGTTTAAAAAATTGGAGTGAGCGAATTCGTCTAGGCTATAAACTCGCTTTTGGTACCGAATCCAGTATGAAATCATCAAAAGTTTCTGGTATAACTTAGAAATTGTCAACAATCATAAAAAAAAATTACAACTGACTATACAAAGCTTTAGCAAGGTCTGATGCCCAGAAAATCCAGCATTTACAAAAACCACAGGATGTGCCAAGAAAGACTAAATGTAATGATAAAATACTTCAGAAACTAATGACCTGATGCATGTGAATGTAGTCACTCTCTTTCCACTGCCACAAAGTTATTACTTAAAATAGTAAAATATCATCCAAAAGAATCTAGACCCACTTGTTTCTCTCCATTGTTTCCAAGAAGAAACTCAGCAAGACTGTTGAACGGTTATTCATATTCTGCTAAATCTCAAGATCTAATACAAGGATTTTATTAAGTATCCATCCAAACAATTGTGTTAAGGTATTCATTTTGTGTTTTTACCTTATATATAACTTTGGCTACCATTAAACCCAATTACTATTAGTACGTATACAGTAAATGTTCTCTTTGAAAAGAATCTATGACAATAAAAATGGATTTAGTAATTTAGAAATTATTTAAAACCCCAAAGTAATATAATTAAGTGTCGTTTAGACCGATTACAAAGATGTAAGCCGTTTGATCCAAATACTTTTTTGATTGCTTAACTGAGCGTGTCGACCGGTATGATGAGAAATGAAAAAAATAAGGGCACCCTTCGTTCAAAAAGTAAATTTGGCATAGTTACGCAAAAACTCCTGCATGCATTGAAACATCGAGAACATAATTACCACTTTGAGAGACTTCTTTCAAATAAAGCATTAGAATAATACATCAAGTTAATCTTTACAATAGTTATAACGAATACGGGTGGCCCAAAAGGCGACTATGTCATAACGATATTAAATTCAGTCTATATGATAGGATAAATACAATTAAAAGACAATAAACAAATTTGCTGGAAACTTTATTTATTCAAGTAAAAATATTTCTCACTCAAACATTTGTACAAAACATTGTGCTCCCATTATGTATAAAAAAATCTACACAATGTTCATGACCACCATGAGCTTAGTTCATTTTTTATGATTTATTTCTCACCTAGTAGCTTATAGTCGATAATTGAGCATAATTCATGTCTATAATGATATTACAGTATCATAATGAATTTGTATATTTGTGATTTTTAAAAGAAACTTTCTTGTTTATTTTGTTTTTTTATACTGGATTTTAAAGGCTTATTGTTTAAAATTTTCCCTTTGTTTTTTTTATATTAATGCTGTCATGAATTGTGGATGATGTTTGTTAAATCATTTCACGATAAAGAAATATTTGCATCATTCACATAATGGAAGAACGTAAATGAAACTAAGGAGTTTGTACGTCGAACTCATCAATTTATGCTCTGAAATTTTGGGAATAAGTAAAATTCAAATGCAGTTTTGTACTATCTTTTCTTTTCTTTTTTTTCTTTAAATCTACATTTACTAGAACATTGATGATTAGATTCCCTTCGCTAACAATTCTATAAGGATGCTACATATTATCTACATTTTAAGTTTTAGCACAAGCAGCTTATTTTTGTTTAATAACTATTCTGATTTTTATTTTTTCCCTATTTTTCTGTCGTTTTTTTTTTTAATCATCTAATTTTGGGCTAAAATGATAGCTACATATCTAGCGCTTATAAATAGTAATGCACTGTAGGTACTGGGCTGAATGTTGATCAGGACAGAATGATGATGCTCAAAAATACACAAATCTATAGAATCACATTAATTATGTTGTGTGTTTCTGCGTATATAATATATATACATACATACATACATTATATACGTAAAAATGTTTATGTGCACTTGGTACAGATAATTCTTACCTAAAATGGCAGATATAACTCTGCAAAACATGCTTTCGTGGATACATAATTATTCAGCTAGTGTGCTGCTATAAAACAATATTACCATTTATTTTTTATTTCATTTTATTTTTTTGGAAAATTAATTTCGTTCCTACCGACAATGCATTTTTATTTAAAATTAAATATATATTTTTGTCTTATCATCTAGATCAAAATGGCAATATTTTAAGTAAAGAATATATAACTGAATACCTTTTTTTTTCCCCTGTGGAAATTGAAAGGAAGAAATAGGATATACCTCAAAAGACTCGAGATATACGTAATTCATTATTAGCAATTAATTATTCGAATTTAGATCGTCACCAAATTTATCATCCATAAATATATATTTAGTAAATCACTTCACATATTCAAAAAAGTTCTTTTTTTTATAACACATCAAAAGCAGTATAACACTTGATAAAAAGTCTGTACACTTTACTAATGAAAATTTTAAGGAACTCCAAAGCACCAGATACCTTTCATATGAAACAAATTTCTGCTGATGATTTCTTTTGTTTTATTTGGGGGAATTTTGGGCAACATTTTGAATGTTTCCTATCACTGCACAAAAGGAATGGAATATGGGACAAAGGGAATGATGCATCATAAAAATATTGTTCCCATACATATCTAATTTAAGTACTTTTGCAATAATACAGTCCAACTTTATAATTTAAACAGAATATGAACTGCATTAATATACAAATTGTATACACATGGAGAGAGATATATATACACATATATATATATATTGTATGTATGTGTATATATTATATATATATGCATATATATATAATATATATATACCACTTAATTTATTATTATTTGTCCTTTACTTCCGTCTTGGCCAGCATAAGTGAGTCAAAGGAAGATTCACAACTAACTTGGCAAAACTGTACATTACAGTAAGGCTTTTGCATAAACGGCAGTCAACGTTTGTGCCACAATTATTGTGGTCCCGGGCTGGTTTTGTTCTGTTCGACGCAGCGTTACGACCGTTGTGCTAGGAAGAGACGTGCTGTTTAGATATACTTGTAGATGCAAGAGCCTCAAAGGAAGATTCAAAATATTGTTTCAATTCTGCATAACTAACGACCAAAACATTCTGCTCGTCTCTAGACATGAGACATATCTTCTCCTGTACACCTGCATCAAGCTGAAAAATATTTATAAATTTATTAATCATCTTTAACCAAAGTGTGTTGCATATATAATCTAAAAACTGAGGGAAAAAATGAATATATATATATATATATATATATATATATATAAATAAATGAAANTCTTCCTTCTTCACGCTAACAAAACACAGAGTAAAAGGCGGTTAACTGACTTTTAGGCCACCCTGTATTTAAAAATAACTTCAGAAGATGGAAGATGTTATACTTTGATCCAAGTTAAGGTGAACTTTGGTTAGTAATTACACCGAAAATCGAACACAATACGTAGTTTAAACGGAAAACACTTTGTGTGTGACGTCATTTGATTGACAATAAGAACGTTTATTGTAAATAAAACAAATGTCAAAAGAAATGTTTACGTAAGCGGTTTGTGACGTTTTACGGTTTGATTTGTTAAGAATTAATTATTTTATTCTAAAAATATATAATTTCGATGGTTTTTATTTTATTTAAGAGTGTTTTTTTTTTTTTTAATTTTGACAGCTATTTTGGAAATTACTTCACCAGGACCCGCCGAAGTCCGGATCAAAGGTGTCCAATCGCAGCTTTATTTAGCAATGGACGAAAATGGCGAACTTTATGGAAGTGTAAGGATCTTATTTATTTACTTTTTAAAGGAAAACAATTTGGAAAATAAGCTTAAAATCATGAAATGACACTATGAACTGTACAACTAGCGTTAAGTCTAATCGATGAATTATGAATCTATATTAAACCTGTACAGTGTGTAGAGTGGCCACAGCCTGTTGTTTATCCTTATCTTAAATTGGTAGATATAATCACGTTTTTATTGCATTGTAGCATACAGGAAATTTTTAAGTTCTATGCCATGATTTTATTGATCTTACAACAGACTTTAATCATCTCTTATTGAGTCTTTCGCTTGGTTTTAAACTAAGTTAGTATACATTTCCATCATTAAAGCGTTTCTTCTTCCAGCACTAGAGAGCTTCTCTTCCTCTTCTGCTTCCGGAACTAGGCACTTTCTCCTCCTCTTCTGCTTCCGGAACTGGAGAGCTTCTCCTCCTCTTCTGCTTCCGAAACTAGGCAGCTTCTCCTCCTCTTCTGCTTCTCTAGGGGGGGGGTACTACTGTAGTACATATATATACAATGACTCAAAAATCATTTAACTGTTGTAACGCGTACTTTCTAATTTGAATAAGTCAACAAGTACATTTTACAATAGTTAACTGACTTTTAGGCCACCCTCTACGTTTATAATCGCCCATTATTATAATTATCTCTTACGTCATTATTAAAATAAACTGGATATTTATCGGGAAGGGAAATTCAAATCAGTGTCCCGGGCGCAATAACTTTTATATTGAAATATCCTCTTCTAGAGTTAGCGCCGCGGCCTAAACTAAAAAAATAAAAAAAAATGGCTGCCAAATTTTCGATGACGACGTTAATAAAAATGGCGACTTGAAAAGGAGATTCGGTAATTGATAAATGAATGATGTGTCTTCGTCACACGCCCACTCGCTCCCGTTTAACTGATGACAATCGAGAAGACGGTTCAAACCGGGGTCAAAGTGTCTCACCCGGACGTGTGACGTCACTAACAGATGTACTACAGTACTACACCGCGCGATGGTTTCTATAAATAATAAAGGTGACAAAATGGAGCAAGTGGCTCGGTGCCAAAAAAATATGTTTTATGCCATTCGTTTTCCTGCCATCTATCTTCCTTCTTCACGCTAACAAAACACAGAGTAAAAGGCGGTTAACTGACTTTTAGGCCACCCTGTATTTAAAAATAACTTCAGAAGATGGAAGATGTTATACTTTGATCCAAGTTAAGGTGAACTTTGGTTAGTAATTACACCGAAAATCGAACACAATACGTAGTTTAAACGGAAAACACTTTGTGTGTGACGTCATTTGATTGACAATAAGAACGTTTATTGTAAATAAAACAAATGTCAAAAGAAATGTTTACGTAAGCGGTTTGTGACGTTTTACGGTTTGATTTGTTAAGAATTAATTATTTTATTCTAAAAATATATAATTTCGATGGTTTTTATTTTATTTAAGAGTGTTTTTTTTTTTTTTAATTTTGACAGCTATTTTGGAAATTACTTCACCAGGACCCGCCGAAGTCCGGATCAAAGGTGTCCAATCGCAGCTTTATTTAGCAATGGACGAAAATGGCGAACTTTATGGAAGTGTAAGGATCTTATTTATTTACTTTTTAAAGGAAAACAATTTGGAAAATAAGCTTAAAATCATGAAATGACACTATGAACTGTACAACTAGCGTTAAGTCTAATCGATGAATTATGAATCTATATTAAACCTGTACAGTGTGTAGAGTGGCCACAGCCTGTTGTTTATCCTTATCTTAAATTGGTAGATATAATCACGTTTTTATTGCATTGTAGCACACGGGAAATTTTTAAGTTCTATGCCATGATTTTATTGATCTTACAACAGACTTTAATCATCTCTTATTGAGTCTTTCGCTTGGTTTTAAACTAAGTTAGTATACATTTCCATCATTAAAGCGTTTCTTCTTCCAGCACTAGAGAGCTTCTCTTCCTCTTCTGCTTCCGGAACTAGGCACTTTCTCCTCCTCTTCTGCTTCCGGAACTGGAGAGCTTCTCCTCCTCTTCTGCTTCCGAAACTAGGCAGCTTCTCCTCCTCTTCTGCTTCCG